GATCGAAAAGATAAAACAAAATTCACTGAAGGATTTAAAGGCCAACTCAAAACGTGTTTATGAAAAGTGTTTTGAGGACTGGAAAAATCATTGGTATAAGTTTATTACATCTGGTGGAGATTACTTTGAAGCCGACAAAGTAAATATTGATGAATACAAATATCTCTACAATCTTACTTTGGGCTACCCAAAAGGCAAAGCCAAAACTTTTTGAACCGTCGCAAGAAATTTGTGATAGGCTCAAAGCGTTTTGTCGATCTGTAAGTGTCTTATGATTCAATTTTTAGGATTTCATAGTTACCACAACATATTAGTGCCTGTGAGGTTGAAACATTTTTTTGTACCAAAGTAAGTCACAAGAGGTTTAGTAAGCTATCTGCCTTCAGCAAGGTTAACTTTAGCTGTAGAGGTTCCAACTGGGGTTTACCTTATCGGTGTACACGCGGTAAGGTGAAAAGGTAAGAAATAAGAAGACGCTAAAAGAAGACGAGTTCTTCTTGACACCCCTTCGAACATTCAGATTAGATATCGGGATTAGAAATATTACGTGTAAGTGAAGGCTCTAAGTGTTTTGCGGCACTAAGATCCAAAGTTAGCATCAATGGAATGAATTTTCTAAAAGGGGTATATAGACAAGCCCAAAACTGAAGTTAACTACCAGAACCACTAAAAAAATGCGATGAAAACAATAGCGCACCTCAAGATAGCTACTTTCTTTTCATCACATTTTGAACATATTTCTGATATTACCGAACTTATTAAACTGAAGTAAAAATGAGTTATGAGTCATAAAACCAAACTACAGCTATTATAAAAAACCTTAACGCCACTTACCCCTCATCGTCCATAGTACACTTTACGATTCCAGAACCTGTCGATGAGTGCGAGGCAAATGGCTTCACGTCGGTACCACCCGAGGTCGAAATGATAACAACATTGTTGACAGCAACACACGGCGGCGCAACACTGCAGCTCACCGTATCACCACAAATTTCCGTCGGACGTAAATACCACTTGGTCTGTGAACCGCTGCTGGCATAAAAATCCGTCGCAACATATTGTTCACGCGCTGACGGCACATGGTCCGCTTCAACGGTGACAATAGTTGCGGGAACTGCTTCAACGCCTTCTTTAAAACTGGCAACATTTGAGACATTCTCCGCCTCGTTGGTGGTTGTGAGCTCCAAAACAGTTGCTGGTAATGTGTCTTCCAGCGCTGTTGTTGTTGTATCGAATTCATTTACCGAAGCGCGTCCACTATCGGTGGCGGGAATGTCCTGCAGCTGAAATGTTTGCTGCTGTTGTTGTTGTTCTTGTTGGCTTTGTTTTTCTTGTTCGTGTTGCTGTTGTTGGTCTAGCTGTTCGTCTTGTAACTGTTGCTCTGTGCTGGTAATTAGTATTGGACACGCCTGCTGCGACACGTCGCACGCACAAATGCCGTTAGCAACTATGCTGCCGCTGCCACCACCCACTTGTATGACATTGATGGTGTTACAGCGGGTGTTGGCGTTATTATTACTCGTGTTGTTGTTGCTATTGCTGTTATTTTCCGGCTGTGTGCTTGTGTGCAAGTCCATGTTGGAGCTCGCTTGTATTGTTGTAGACATTTTATTTGCGAATGTTGCGTCTTGCTACCGAAAATTATTGTTGTATTTGATGTTGTTGTTGCTTTAGTAGCGTTTTTTGCGCTTATTGTAGCAAGTGTGTTAACTAAAATTCTTTGCACAACAATAAATATGCGTATAAAATTGTTTACAGCAATGTTGCCACACGAAACCCCACGGTCGCCACAACAAATTGATGGGCGGGGGTAGTTTGTTCTTCGCAAAATAAGAGCGGGTTTCAGCTGTGTAGATAAAATTTTGTTTTGCAATCTATTGATTTTGCAACACTTCACACGATTGTGCAACACAATGCTGCAACACTAACCACAAATGCAGTGAAAACTTATTTTTGTTGTTGCTGCAAGGGGTAAACACACGCGCGCACTTATGCACTGATACTGGTAGAGGAGCCCTCACAAATTGTCGAGCACTTTCAAATTGCCGCGCGGGGTGGGGGGAGTAGAGAGAGTATTTGTATACACAATGGCAGTGTGGTATCAGATAGTAGCATTGGTGGCGAAAAATTGTTATGCAAATATTTATAAATATTTTTTATGTAACTTTTTTCTCGAAAATTGTTTATTAAATATTTTTTAAAAATTTTCCAAAACGGGTTTTCAATAATTTTTTTTAAACTTTTTTTTATACCTTTTTTAATTATTTATTATTTTTTTAATATAAATGTCTTACTTTTTTTTTTTGAATAAAAAAAATTTTTTTTTCAAAAATCACTCTTCACTTTAATTGACTTTGTTGTTTCGATTTAATTTAACAAATAATTTTACACTACATATTAATTTTGTACAGGAAGAATTCAATTATTTTTTTCACACGCGTCTGCAGCGCTGCGCTGGCGGCACATTTGCTGAGACAAACGGTTAGCCCAAAAATTCTGTCGCGTTCTTTTGCCCAACTTCGTCGCGAATATATACAGAGCTCCTGTTATTGCAAGTATCACACACTACAAATCACACCGAAGACAGGTTTCATTTTACTTTAATTTATTTCTACAAACACTGCACATTTTCACACTTTTTTCCGCAGCAAAATGTCAAATAATTGCAAAGAAATATTTAACCGCTAACCGCCGCGCAATCGACTCGAACGTCATATGTTAAAAACAACAAGAAACAAACTGCAAAACACAGCAAAAGTTTATATCTAAGCAGGCGCCAATGCAACATGTTGCAGGCAACATGCCGCCCGAACGTGTTCGATGCGCCCACAACGCCAAAACGGTATGCTGCTTGGGTGCAGTAAACATACAAGCACACACAAACAACACAAGCTCACTTATATATATCAGCCGATGCATTTGTTTATACACGATGTTGTTCGGCTGCTCGCCAACAAACAAACAACAAATAAACAAGCAATAAACAAAATACACGAAGGGCGCTCTGCTTGGCATGTTGTTGCGAGCAAAAGTTGCCGGGCGCTGCGCTGTGCGGTTCGAAGCTTGTCGGCGTTTTGTGTTTGTGGATTGTATGCGCCATCTCCCTTTGTAGGGGGGCGCCGTTACACAATACCTTCGTACAATCCACAAACTTGGCATCGAACCTGTTGGAGCAATTTGGAGCTTATTTTTGCTTGTGTTGTGATTCTGCACTTGTGTGTGTGTGTGTTTGCTAAGGTGTAACATTGCGTTGCGCGCCTATAAGTATGCAGAGAAAACTCTAACGCTCGTAGGCGGATTGAGGCGAATACAGTGAAGGCAATGTGAAGAAGCTTTTTAAACTAATAAAAAATAATTTTAATATTTAAGAAAATGTTTGATAATTAATTACGTACATTTATTTAGTGAGTGTTAATTGAAACATTTTAATTTTCATTAATTTTTTTTTTAATTACTATTAATCACCTTATTAAACTA